GAAGGTATTTAATGAAGTAGGTACAGTTTTATTTTGATTTTACTCAAATTTATTATCTGTTGGTTTTGATTAGTATTTGCTATCTTGTTATTAGAATGAAAGGAAATAAACAAACGTTTACCATGGTTACACGTCAAAATATGTTTAATTATTGATCGTATTTTGATATAAGCAAATATTGATTTCATTTGCCAATTTCGCAATTTCTCGTGTCGATGCGTAATTGCCTAATTCTTTCATTATAGTGATTAATCGTCGAAAAATATTGATAATTTTTAATTTTCGTCAATTAATAACAATTTACCTGTGATCACACATTTTAAACGAGTGAAATTTCCGTACAACATCGGATTTAAATATTAAATTAAATTTTTGACCGTTTAAAATTTTCTTCCCCACCTTTTTTTCTTATTTTTATTCCATTTCATCCCGATCTGTCAGACCGGTTAATTAATCTTTTACGTTCGTTCATATTATAATTTTTTCCCATTTCTGTATCTCCCCATTATCAGCGACCACGTTAAATAAAATTTCTAAAAATCCATCGAAACGAAAGCTTCGATCCAATGAAAAACTGGAATATCGAATCTGACCAAACTTGATGGCTCTCTCTCTCTCTCTCTGCCACCCACCCGTTTGAGCATCAAGCTCAAAGCGATTGGGGGGTGCCAAATTTATTCTACACCGCTCGATCGATTTTGGATTATATTGCCTTAAGACCTGAATGATATTCATGGCCGGCACGTTATGATTTCAATATTCTCAGGGTTCTCAGGGTCCGTGGGAATTCGAGTCGAAAAATCACCGCGCCCTTATGCGGTTCGTCGCGATAGACATTGAATCGAACGTATAATCGAATCGTCTGCGGCTCCCGCGATTATCGAAATGCCCCCATTCCCATCGAATATTTCCCAACGAAGAAGACAAGTGTATTATCGATAGTCGATATTCCGCGATGAATCGCATATTATTTGCTTTCACTTAAAATAAAAATAATAATTTTTTAACGATAATAATAAACTTATCGTTGGTTCTTGGATTCTTACCAAGAATGCGGTCGATAATTGTAAAAAAGTTAATCAGGGGATTCAAATCGCGTGAATATCGAAATTCGATATCATACACCATGTCGAGAAATAATTTTGCAAGAATAATTTCCTTGTCTGCAACAAGTCTACGATAAAGTTTGGAAACGCGTGGGAGGGAACTCGTCTGGGCCGTTTTTATCGATCGAGCGACAATATCGAGGTGATCAAATTCGAACGATATCGTTTGATGAAACAGCACAAACAGAAATGAAGGGTTCCGTAATCGAACGTATCTAGTTGACTATTCGTTCGTTAAATCAACAAGTTTCAACAGAATTGTTCGCTATCCGAATAATTGGCCCTCCCTCTCCTCCCTTTCCAATCCCCTCCTCCCTGCGTTTATTATTCATTTCACGAATGGGGTGCGCGCGCGCCGATCGAGCTTTTATCGCGAATTTAACTTTTATCCGATTCGCTGATCCGACCTCTGATTGTGAACGCGACAAGATTTACGCGCGGATACGCAATCGGCTTCTGTCGTAATCGATCTCTAATAGAAACGTCGAACGATATTTTCCTCCGCGCAAATTGCCCTCCTTATTCTCGATCTTCGTGTAAATTAATTTTTCATGATTTTATTATTCCTTTTTTTCACTTTATCTCTGTGTTTGTTCACTTGGTTTATTGAATTTATTATTTTTTAAATAGTTAGGATATTTGTTTTTTTATGGGGTGGGATGGGGTAGAAGTTTAGAATTGATTATTTTTAAATTGATTTTGGCGAGTTTTTTTTTTTAAAAATGTATAAATATATAGGTAGATGGAAACAATGATTCTAGGTAGAATTAAATTATAGCTTCGAGTTTTGTACGATATTATTATAGGGAGAATTTAATATACAATAGATGTTATAGATTATCCATAATATTTGGATTCTTTAGATTGCTCTCCGCCGAAATTCCGTCAGGCGTATACGAATCGGGAAAAAAATGTTTCTACGAAATATCTCGAATGTTTAAAGCAATATTATTAAAAGAGTTGTTGCAAAATTGAAAATCTATATTTTTCTTAAGTAAAATTTACAAAACAATTAATTTTTTTCATCACAAATTAACTTGAAATTAAATAAATTCAAAATTCTCGTATACTTTCAATTACGAATAATTTTCACTTTCATGTAAAAAAAAATGTAACAAAAAACTAAACATTTTGTCATCAAACTTACTCAAAAGATAGAGGAAACCATGCTGTTGAAGTCAGTTTTTGGTTCATCCCGATATCTCGATTGGTTGCCGAGATATAAAGATTCAAAGTGTCCATAGCGCTTAAAAACGGAATTGCGGAAATTATGAATGGGCTCGCGAGTCAATGACCTATATATTTTTCTTGGAAATGTTTACTACGTTTTTCCAAGAATCGTGTCTGTCGCTTGTCTGGAGTTTGGAATAGGTCAGTGAGACGAGGCGCGAGCGAGAGGTCCGAATAAACGACAAGGACGGAGATGGTAAACGATTAAAAATTACCTTTTTCTTTACACGACGATATCTCGGAAACCGGAAGTCGTATCGAGATAAATCAAAAAGCATTTTAAAGGGGAAGATTCCACGATTCCAACGATCGTTCATTGGTCGATAAAAAGTCATTATCTTCGGAGTTATAGCGATTCAAAGTTTTCCTAATTTTAATCGAGTTTTAAGAAGAGTTACGCGATAAATACGTTTACTTCTCGTTACAATCTCACTAATGCTACGTTGAGCATTCTGAATTGAGTCAACGATTGTCCCAAGTTTTTTGCTTTGTTAAAATGTATCGGATTCTTAATTCTTCAATCTTATTTCAAGCTTAATTAATCGAAAAGTTTTTT